ACAGTCTGAGGAATAAGGTAGACCCAGAGAGGTGGAAGTAGCGTACAGACTCTCCTCAGAAAAAGAGTGGTGGGGGGAGGGAAGAGATAAACCACAGAACTTATATGCATGTACGCATAACCAACAGACATGGACAACAAAGCCGGGGATGGGGAGGAGGGTGTCAATGGGGAAAAAAAGGAGAAACATCTGTAACGAAAATAAATTAATAAAAATAAAAAATAAAAAAAGATTATACACCATGATGAAATGGGATTTATTCCAGGTTTGCAAGGCTGGTACAATATTCACAAATCAATAAATGTGATACACCACATAAACAAAATGAAAGATAAAGACCACAATGTCATATCAATAGATGCAGAAAAAAGCATTTGATAAAATTCAGCACCCATTTATGATAAAAACTCTCAGCAAAGTGGGAATAGAGGGAATTTACCTCAACTTAATAAAAGCCATATGTAACAAACCCACAGCCAACATCATACTCAATGGGCAAAAACTGAAAGTGTCTCCCCTAAGATCAGGGACAAGACAGAAATGTTTCTGTTCACTGCTCTTATTCAACACAGTCCTAGCCAAAGCAATCCAACAAGAAGAAATAACAGTCATCCAAATTGGAAAGGAGGAAATAAAACTATTGTTATTCACAGATGACATCATATTGTACATAGAAAACCCTAAAGATTCTACTGAAAAACTACCAGATCTAATAAATGAATTTGGCAAAGTAGCAAGATACAAAATTAATATCCAGAAATCAGTGGTGTTTCTCTATACCAATAATAAACTATCAGAAAGAGAAATCAGCCTTGGCTGGTTTGGCTCAGCGGTTGGAGCGTCGGCCTGAGGACTGGAGAGTCCCTGGTTCAGTTCCCGCTAGGGGCATGTACCAAAAAAAAAAGAAAGAGAAATCAAGAAAACAATCCCATTTACTATTGCAATAATAACAAAAAAATAAGGTACCTAGAAATAAATTTAACCAATAAAGTTCAAAACCGGTCCTCAGAAAACTAGAGGACTTTGAAGAAAAAAATTGAGGAAGCATATACTATGTTCATGAATTGGAAAAAATTAACATTAATAAAATGTCCATACTTCCCAAAGCAAACTATAGATTCAATGCAATTCCTATTAAATTACCAATGGCACATTTTACAGATCTAGAAAAAATATTTTAAAAATTTATATGGTACCAAGAAAGATCCCAAATAACCTCAGTAATCTTGAGAAAGAAGAACAAAGGTAAAGGTTTCAAAATACCTGATTTCAAACTTATGTGTGTGTGTGTGTGTGTGTGTGTGTGTGTGTGTATAAAACCATTGTAATAAAACAACCTGGTACTGGCATAAGAACAGGCATATAGATCAATGGAACAGAACAGAGTCCAGAAATCAACCCACACCTATATGATCAATTAACATTTGACAAAGGAGGCAAGCACATACAATAGGGTAAAATCAGTCTCTTCAATAAATGGTGTTGGTAAAATTGGACAGGTACATGCAACAAAATAAAACTAAATCATACACAAGAATAAACTCAAACTGGATAAAAGACTTAAATATAAGTCCCCAAACCATAACTAGAAGAAAACATAGGCAGTAAAATCCCAGACATTTCATGTAGTAGTATTTTCACTGATACATCTCCTAGAGCAAAAGAAACAAAGGAAAAAATAAACAAATGGGACTACATAAAACTAAAAAGCTTCTGCACAGCAAAAGAAATCATCAACAAAATGCAAAGGAAACCCACTTCATGGGAGAACATATTTGCCAATGATACATCTGATAAAGGGTTAATCTCCAAATATATAAAGAATTTATACAACTCAACACCAGGAAGATAAACAATCCAATTAAAAATGGGCAAAGATAACAGATTATGGTTTCTTTCCTTTCTTTGAAGGAAAAGTTAATTACGATGCTCTTTTTTTTTTCTTATTAAGAGACTCAACATTTAGGGGATGTTTTCTTTATACTAAATTTTTATTCCATTTCCCTTATAAAAAGACCAACTTACTTAAACGTATCAGTGGGCATGTATGATTTCATTTCTTAGTAATAATTTGAAATAAAACCAAGGAAATTAGATTCTTTAGATTTTATGATAGTATAACTCCACAATCTCATATAGACCTGATAAATTGATAAGGCAGATGAGATTACTGGGATTGCTCATATTATGACTCAAAATCATTTTCCATAGTGGTGTTATAGGGTAGTCATAGTGATGGCCTTTTTTGATGAGTTTTGTTGTGTCTTGTGAGTAAATCATTACTGTGTCCAATATTGGAATGGAATTATCACTGTTATGAGTGGATTTTTTGATTCTATGGTTCCCTCAGTATTATAGCCTGACTTGTCATCAATAATGAATATTTCTTGATATTTAATGTATGAGACATTTATTTATATTTAATAAATATTTTTCAAAAGGAAAAAAAATGGGCAAAGGACATGAATAAACATGTCTCCAAAGAGCATACAAATGGCCAACAGACACGTAAAAAATGCTCAACACCTCTAATCATCAGAGAAATGCTAATTAAAAACACAATGGAATAGCTCGACCAGTGTGGCTCAGTGGTTGAGTGTTGACCCATGCACCAAGAGGTTGCCAGTTTGATTCCTGGTCAGGGCACATGCCCAGGTTGTGGGCCCAATCCCCTGTGGGGGGCATGCGGGAGGTGACCAATTGATGTTCTCTCTCATCAATGTTTCTATCCCTCTCTCCTTCTCCCCTCCTCTGTCTCTAAAATCAATAAAGAAAAAAAAATTTTAATAAATAAAAACACAGTGGAATATCACCTCACACCTGACAGAATGGCTACTATCGATAAATCAACAAACAACAAAGGCTGGTGAGGATGTGGAGGAAAGGAAACCCTGGTGCACTTTTGGTAGGAATGCAGACTGATGCAGCCACTGTGGAAAGCATTATGGAGCTTCCTCAGAAAATTAAAAATGAAACTACCTTGCCCAGCTGGTGTGGCTCAGTGGTTGAGCCTCGACCCAATGCACCAAGAGGTCACTGGTTTGATTTTTGATCAGGGCACATGCCCAGGTTGTGGGCCTGATACCCGGGGTGGGCATGCAGGAGGTTGCCAGTTGATATTCTCTCTCATCGATGTTTCTCTCTCTCTTTCTGTTTCCCTTCCTCTCTAAAATCAATAAAGAAAAAACATTTAAAAAAATAATGAAACTGCCTTTTGACCCAGCAATCCTAATTCTGAGAATATGTCCTAAAAATCCTGAAATACCAGTTCAAAAGAATATATGCATCCCTATGTTCATAGCAGCATTATTTACAATAGCCAAGATTTGGAAACAGCCCAAGTTTCCATCAGTAAATGAATGGATTAAAAAGTTGTGGTACATTTACACAATGAATACTAAGTGGCCACAAAAAGGATGGAACTCTTACCTTTTACTAACAGAATGGATGGACCTGGAGATTATTATGCTAAGTAAAATAAGCCAGTTAGAGAAAGACCAATACCACATGATCTCACTTATATGTGGAATCTAATGAACAAAACAAACTAGTGAACAAAATAAAAACAGAGGCATGGACTGGCAGTTCTGAAAAGCCATCTTTGCATTGTTCCCGTGGCCGCCTCTCCGCTCGCTGCAGCCGCGGATTCCCGCAGCTTCGAGCTCTCGCTCTTTTTTTTTTTTTTTTTGAGTGTCAGGGAACTTTATTGAGAGGAAACATGGTCACACCCAGCAGGCATGCTTTCCCTCTCATTCTGGGTCACACACACACACGCACACACACACACACACGCACACACGCACTCTCTCCAGCCTCTGCCATGCGGTCCAGTTCTCAGCCACAAGGGTGGGACACTCCTCAATTCCTAACATCCAGAGGCAGCAGGGTCAGGAGGGAATCAAGAGGGGGGAAGAAGTGGTCCCGTTCACGGGGAGGGTCTCGAGAAGGGGTGCAGAGAGCAGGCCTGGATGGAATGACCAGTGGTTAGGAGCACCCGACAGCTGCAGGAAGAGTGGGACCCAATGGCTCCAGGTGGCTTCAGCTCTGCTGGTCCCTGTCTATGGAGCCTCTGAGCTGGGGCAGAGCATTCAGGGAGAAGGGTCGGGCCTCCCACCCCATGCTAGTCCTCTCTGCTGGGGGTGGGGGACTGGAGCGGCAGGGCAGGGAGGGTAGCAGCGAGGCTCAGCTCTGGGGCGCCTCAGGTGCCCCACCCCCCTCTTCCCCGGCATTGTCGGCGGTCCACAGAGTCAGGGTGTCTCGAAGCAGCGGCATGATGAGGGCGCTGTCTTTGTAGGATCCTCGCTGAGGGTGTGCAGGTCAGCCATGGCCTCATCAAAGGTGGTCTTGGCCAGTGATATGGCCTCCTCAGGGCTGTTTGCGATCTCGTAGTGGGAAACAGGAAAGTTCAGGGCCAGGCCCAGGCGGATGGGGTTGGTGGGCGGCATCTCCTTCTGGCTGATGTCCATGGCCTCCCGGTAGGCTGGCCGGGCAGAGTCGATGATGCGCTTCTTGTCGTCACCAGTGGCCACCTCGGCCAGATAGCGGTAACAGTCGCCTTTCATTTTCAGGCAGAAGACCCGGCTTTCGGCGTCACCAGCCTCCTTGATGAGGTGGGTGTCCAGCAGGCCCAGCACGGTGTCGCACCGCCCGGAGCTCAGTCTCCACCTTCTCCCGGTATCCTTGCACCTCTGGGCCCTTCTCCTCCGAGCCCTCCTCATTGCTTTTCTGCTCGATACTGGACAGGACCCTCCAGGCAGCCCTCTGGCCACCCAGCACATTCTTGTAGGCCACCGACAGCGGGTTTCGCTCTTCGCATGTAGCTCCTCACCCTTTCCCCCAGCACTCCTCCTGAAAGCTGCCGTGTCCTCGGAGCGTTCCGCCGGTTCTGCCAACTGGGCCTTCTGGATCAGACTTGCTCTCTCCATGGATCTGGGGATGGACAGACAGGCAGGCGGCGGGCTAAATGGCTGCCTCGGGACCAAGCCGAATTCTGTCTCTCGCTCTTTTTTTAAAAATCCGCTGCATCGGATCACCAGCGTGCCCACCATGTCAGACGCGGCGGTGGACACCAGCTCCGAGATCACCACCAAGGACTTAAAGGAGAAGAAGGAAGTTGTGGAGGAGGCAGGGAATGGAAGAGACGCACCTGCTAATGGGAACGCTAATGAGGAAAATGGGGAGCAGGAGGCTGACAATGAGGTAGATGAAGAAGAGGAAGAAGGAGGGGAGGAGGAGGAGGAGGAGGAGGAAGGTGATGGTGAGGGAGAGGATGGAGATGAAGATGAGGAGGCTGAAGCAGCTACGGGCAAACGGGCAGCTGAAGATGATGAGGATGACGATGTTGACACCAAGAAGCAGAAGACTGATGAGGATGACTAGACAGCAAAAAAAGAGTCCCGCCCACCTGCCTGCCCACTGCGGCGGTGCCACCCGCAGATGACACGCACTCGCCACCACCCAACCAAAACCACAACGTGAATTTGCAACAGGGGAGGGAAAAAGAACCAAAACTTCCAAGGCCCTGCTTTTTTTCTTAAAAGTACTTTAAAAAGGAAAATTTGTTTGTATTTTTTATTTACATTTTATATTTTTGTACATATTGTTAGGGGTCAGCCATTTTTAATGATCTGGGATGACCAAACCAGCCTTTGGAGCGTTCTCTGTCCTACTTCTGACTTTACTTGTGGTGTGACCATGTTCATTATAATCTCAAAGGAGAAAAAAAACCTTGTAAAAAAAAGCAAAAACAACAACAACAAAACAATCTTATTCCGAGCATTCCAGTAACTTTTTATGTATGTACTTAGCTGTACTATAAGTAGTTGGTTTGTATGAGATGGTTAAAAAGGCCAAAGATAAAAAGGTTTCTTTTTTTTCCCTTTTTTTGTATGAAGTTGCTGTTTATTTATTTATTTTTTTTGGCCTGTTTGATGTATGTGTGAAACAATGTTGTCCAACAATAAACAGGAATTTTATTTTGCTGAGTTGTTCTAAAAACAACAACAACAACAACAACAAACAGAGGCATGGATATGTGGAATAGACCGACAGCTGTCAGAGGGGTGGGGTGGGGAGACTGGATGAAAGAAAGTGAAGGGGTTAGCCGAAGAACACATATGCATAACCCATAGACACAGACAACAGTGTGGTGACTGCCAGAGGGAAGGGGAGAAATGGGGATGTCTGTAATAGTGTCAATAATAAATATCAAGTTAAAAATAAGTAAATAAAACAATGAATGTGCTAACAATGAGATCAAGGAAGAAATTAATACTTACCTGGAAACAAATGAAAATGAACTCACAACAACCCCAAATCTAGGGACATAGCGAAAGCAGCCCTGAGACAGAGGCCAGAGCATTGCAGGCTACCTCACGAAGCAAACAAATCTCAAACAAACAATCTAACTCTACATTTAAAAGCACTATAAAAAAAAAGAACAATAAATAAAGCCCAGAACAAGTAGAAGGAAGAAAATAATAAAGATTAGAGTAGAAATAAATGACATAGAGACTAAAATAAACATAGAGAAGAAAATAGAAACAGAGGCATGGACACATAAAACAGACTGACAGCTGTCAGAGGGGAGGGTAGAAAGGGGGACTGGATGAAAGATGGTGAAGGTATTAGCCAAAGAACATATATGTATAACCCATAGACACAAACAACAGTGTAGTGATGGCCAGAGGGAGGGGACAGGGGCTGGGTGGAGATGGGCTCGGGGGGGGGGGGGGGGCAGGAAATGGGGGCATCTGTAATAGCATCAACAATAAAAATAAAATGTAGAAAAGAGACCTACTTCAGATCCAAAGGCACACAGAGTCTGAAAGTAAAGGGATACAAAAAGATATTTTATGCAAATAGAAATGAAAAAAAAAGTTGGGGTAGCAATATTTGTATCAGAAAAAAATAGACTTTAAAACAAAGGCTATAAAAGAGACAAAGAAGGACATATCATAATGATTAAGGGATCAATCCAACAGAGGATATGACTTATAAACATTTATGCACTCAACATAGGAACACCTGACTATATAAAGCAAATATTGACAGAGAAATCAACAATAACATAATCATAGTAGGGGATTCTAACATCCCATTGGCATCAATGGATACAATTATGGAAAATCATCAAGGAAACCCAACCTTAAATGACACATTTGACCACATATTTAATTGACATTTTTTAGAGCATTTTACTTAAAGCAGTAGAAAATACATTCTTTTCAAGTGCACACAGAACATTTTCCATGATAGACCAGATGTTAGGTCAAAAAACAAGTCTTGATATATTTAAGAAGACTGAAATCATATCAAGCATCTTTTCTAATCACAATGATATAACACTAGAAATCAATTACAAAAGAAAAACTAAAAAACACACACAAAAAAACATGGAGGCTAAATACATGCTACTAAATAATGAATGAGCTAACAATGAGATCAAGGAAGAAATCAAAAGACACATTGAGACAAATGATAATGAAAACATACTGACCCAAAATCTATGGGACACAGCAGAGCAGCCCTATAGGGGAAATACAGGCCTACCTCATAAAACAAGAAAAATCTCAAATAAACAATCTAAGCTTATACCTAAAGGAACTAAAAAGCAAATAAAAATAACAAAACACAAAGTGAGTAGAAGGAAGGAAATAATAAACATCAGTGGAAAAAAACTAAACAGAGTCTAAGAAACAAACAAAAGATCAATAAAACAAAGAGCATATTCTTTGAAAAGATACACAATATTGCTAAACCTTTAATGAGACTCATCAAAAGAAAAAGAAATAAAAGAGAAGTAACAACACCACGGAAATACAAGAAAATCATGAGAAAATGCTGCCAAGAATTTAGACAATTTGAAAAGTGGATACATTCCTAGAAACACAAAATCTTCCAAGACGGAATAATTATGAAACAGAAAACCTAAAAAGATCAATTATTACCAACAAAATCAACACACTAAAAAAAAAAAAAGTCTCCTAACAAACAAAAATCCTGGACCAGTCGGCTTCACAAATGAATTTTACCCAACATTCAAAGAAGCTCTAACACCTATCCTTCTCAAACTATTCCCAAAATTTCAAGAAGAGGGTAGACTCCCAAGATAATTTTATGGTGCTACCATTACCCTGATTCCAAAATCAGATAAAGACACTACAAAAAAAGAAAAGTATAGTCCAACATCTCTGATCAACATAAATGTAAAAATCCTCAACAAAATATTAGCAAAACAAGTCTAGCAATACATAAAAAGATCATACACCATGATCAAGTTAGTTCCCCCCCCCCCCTTGGGATGTCAGGTTGGTTCAATATGCACAAATAAATTAATGTGATATACCACATAAATAAAATAAAAAATAAAAATCATATAATCAGCCCGGCCCGTGTAGTTCAGTGGTTGAGTGTCGACTCATGCACCAAGAGGTCGCTGGTTCATTTCCTGGTCAAGGCACATGCACAGGTTGTGGGCCTGATCCCTAGTGAGGGACATGTAGGAGGCAGCCAATCAACATTCTCTCTCATCAATGTTGCTATCTCTCTACCTCTCTCTTTCTAAAATCAATTAAGAAAAAAAAATTTTTAATCATATAATCACATCAACAGATACAGAAAAAAAAAAAAAAAAGAACAAAATCCAGCATCCTTTTATAATAAAAACTCTCAGCAAACTGGAAATAGAGTGCATGTACCAAGATATAATGAAGGCCATATAAAACAAACCCACTGCTAACATCATACTCAACAAGAAAATGCTAAAAGTCATTTCCTTAAGATCAGAGATAAGACAAGACAAGAATGTCCATTTTCACCACTTTTATTCAACATAGTAGTAGAAGTCCTAGCCATAGCAATGAGACAAGAAGAAGAAATAAAAGGCATCCAAATTGGAAAGGAGGAAGCAAAACTGTCATTATTCACAGATGGCATGATACTATACATAGAAAATCCTAAAGATTCCACCAAAAACTATTAAAACTGATAAATGAATTCAGTAAAATAGCAGGATAAAAAATTAATATTAAAAAATTGGTTGTATTTGTATACACCAATAACAAACTATCAGAAAAAGAAATAAAAAAAATTCCCATTTACATCAAAAATAATAAAATACATGTCCGGCTGGTGTGGTTCAGTGTTGAGGGTTGACCCATGCACTAAGAGGTTGCCTGTTCAATTCCCAGTCAGGACACGTGCCCATGTTATGGGCCTGATCCCCAGTGGGAGGCATGCTGGAGATGGCCAACTGATGTTCTGTCTCATTGATGTTTCTATCTTTCTCTCCCTCTCATTTCCTCACTCTGTAAAATCAATAAAGGAAAAGGAAAAAACTTTAAAAAAATAAAATAAAATACCTAGGGATAAATTTGACCAAGGAGGTAAAAGACTTTTACTCAGAAAACTATAAGACAGCCCTGGCCGGTTTGGCTCAGCGGTTAGAGCGTCAGCCTGCGGTCCTGAGAGACCCGGGTTCGGTTCCCGCTAAGGGCGTGAACCTCGGTTGCAGTTTGTCCCCGGCCCTGGTCGGTCGTGCGGGTGGCAGCCACTCGATGTGTCCCTTTCACGTCGATGTTTCTCTCTCTCTCTCTCTCCCCCTCCCACTCTACCTGAACAAAAAAAATTGGAAAAATGTCCTCGAGTGAGGATAAAAAAATAAAAAAATAAAAATAAAAAAGAAAACTATAAGACATTGAAGAAAGAAATGGAAGAAGATACAAATAAATGGAAGCATATACTATGCTCATGGATAGAAAGAATAAACCTAGTTAAAATGTCGATATTACCCAAAGCAATCTATAGATTCAATGCAATCTCTATCAAATTAAGATGACATTTTCCACAGAACTAGAACAAATTCTAAAATTTGTAAAACCACACAAGACCCCAAATAGCCACAGCAACCTTGAGAAAGAAAAACAAAGTTGAAGGTATCACGCTACCCATAATCAAACTATAATACAAGGTAATCAAAACAGCATGGTACTGTCATAAAAACAGACACAGAGATAAATGGAACAGAATAGAGAGCACAGAAATAAACCCACACTTAAATGGTCAATTAATTTATGACAAAGGAGGCATGAATACACAATGGGGTGAAGAGGGTCCATTCAATAAAGGTGTTGGGAGCCCTGGCCGATTTGGCTCAGCAGTTAGAATGTCGGCCTGTGGACTAATGAGTAGCAGGTTCGGTTCTGGTCAAGGGCACATACCTCTGCTGCAATTTGTCCCTGGCCCCGGTTGGGATCATGCGGGGGGCAGCCACTTGGTGTGTCCTTTTCATGTTGATGTTTCTCTCTCTCTCTCTCTCTCTCTCTCTCTCTCTCTCTCTCTCTCTCTCTCCCTCCCACTCTATCTGACCAAAAAGTGGAAAAATGTCCTCAGG